CCTCCTTCACCTCTACGCCGTCTATACATTCCTCCTTCACCTCTACGTCGTCTATACATTCCTCCTTCACCTCTCTGCTGTCGGTAAGTTCCTGCTTCACCTCTACTCCGTCTGTAAATTCCTGCTTCACCTCTACTCCGTCTGTAAGTTCCTGCTTCACCTCTACGCCGTCTGTAAGTTCCTGCTTCACCTCTACTCTGTCTACTACTTCTTGCTTCACCTCCACTCCGTCTATTAGCTCCTGCTTCACCTCGGGGGTCACCTCCACCCCCTCCTCCATCACCTCCACCTTGATCTGCAGCCCATCCCACTCCAGCTTCGCCTCCACGGCCCCCGCTAGCTCCAACTTCACCTCCAGCCCTCCCCCCTCGGGCTCCAGTTTCAGCTGCAGCCCCATCCCCTTGGCCCCCGGCCCGCCACCCCCGCCCCGCGCGTCAGCCATGTCTGCCGGTCCCCCGTGGCCCCGCCCCAGCCTCTGCCGCAGGGCCCCGCCCCCACCCCACTGGGCCCGGGCTGCCGCCGCCGCCTGCCCCCAGCCCCGCTTCGGCGGCCGCGCCGGGAAAGCGAATGAGCGAGGGAGCGAGCTACAGCCCCCAAACCTCGCGCTGCCGGCCACGTGACGCCGCCGGCCACGAGCCTCCACGCGCTCCGGCCGCCTGCCGTAAACCGCACTCACCGCCCCAGCCGCACCAGCGCCGCTTTACGACCTTTTCCCGACGCGAGGACGGCTGCGCGCGCGGTTTCCTAGGAAACGGAAGGCGACGGGACGGCGAGAACCACCCTGGGGCGTGACTAACTCCTCATTGACCTCATAGGCTTCTGGTCCCGTCCCGGCCTCCTGCGCTCTCCCTGGAGTTTGGATGGCTTGTTGAAACTTCTGCAGGCAGCCAGTGGTCTAGTCACAATTTGAACCTAGATTCTAAGCTTAGTACTTAGCAACAGGAGCTAATTAAAATTGGAATTGCCTCGTGCCCTGCTCCCTCCCACCAGATACTTCCCTAGGCCTCGTCCTTCTCCCCTCCCCCAATTCGGACCCGTTCTCCTGTGACCCTGGGCTCTGACTGTCCCCAGATCTAGCAGGGAACCAGATCCCTCTGACCACTTCCTGTCTACACCCCCTCCCCCAATGCTAGCACTGAGAGCAGTGATCAAATCAAATTAATCAGTGCAGCCCCTCCTGGCAGAGAAGGCACTACCCTGCACTGGCAAAGGAAAATCATGGGTCTGGGCCTCATCTCCCCCCCCCCCCATCAAATGTGGATGAAGAAATAGTCAAGACCCTCCCCCCTTTTTGATAGAGTTTCTGGGACAGCCTGGAATCCTCAACCGCGTCTTGTGACCGCGGGATTTCCTGTCCTCTGGTTCTGGAGCCATGATCAAGTCAATCCTGCCATTTTCCCCCTGGAAGATGTGGGCCATTCTAACTCCCCTGAGGTCCCACTCAACACCCAGTAACTTCCAAACCAAAGTGCCCCTCCCTGGCCACCGTGCTGCACTCCCCCAGTTAGGCCTAAGATCTTCGAAGACTTCTGGATTGATTTCTCTGTACTTAGCACTGTCCTTGGCACCTAGTAAGTGCTTTTTCATTCATTTATTCATACTCTCCAGTTCCTCTTCTTGAAGAGAAAGTGCAAAAAAAGGAGCTTCCATATCTGTGGATTTTGTATATCAGGAAAATTATGGGTCTAGGCCCCAACCCCCCATCATAGAGACCAATAAATAGTTATTGAGATACTGAGATCTGTTGGACTATGGAAGTGTCTGTAGAGAGGGAGAAGAGTGGTTGAGAAGAAGAAAGTTGCCCATAGACTAGCTTCCACTTTTAATTAGTTGTTTTTGTTAAGTCCTAAGCTAAAAGAAGATAGATCTTCCAATTTATCCTACTCACACATTGCTGCCAGATTAATTTTCTTAAACAATAAAGCTCTGACCCAGTCATTTTTCTCTTGAGAAACCTCCATGGGTTCTCAATCAACTACTAAATGAAGTTCATTTAGGCTAAGGGTTTGGTGAGGTGAAAAGAACATTGAATTTGGAGTCAGAGGAATTTAGTTCAAATCCTGGGTCTGCTATTTACTATTTGTGACTTTTTAGGTAACATACATAAGCTATCTTAGCCTCAGTTTCCTCATTTGTAAAATGAGGAAGTTGAAAGAGTAAGAAGGACATTCCATGAAGCCTGCATTCCTGATATCTCTCAATTGTAATGACTTTTCCTTCCTAAGACTTTTTTACGTATTTTGAAATGTGAATTGTTAACTGGTTCAACATCAGAAATTGTTATTATTTTATCAGCTAAAATGCCAACTGTACCCTCACGACCATGGGAACTTTGTCTGATTTGCAGCTGAAACCTTCCATATGTATTGTTTTCCCTATTAGAACATGAGCTCCTTAAGAGCATGGGCTATCTTTTCTGTTTATGTGCCCAGTGTTTACTAGAGTGCTTTGCACATAGTACTTAAAATAAATGCATTACTCATTCACTTATTCTTAAAGATGTATGTCCTATTTTCATAACCAAAATCACAGAAAAAGTTGCCTCAATTTCCTCACTTCCAACCCCCTTCTAAAGTCCCATGCAATGTAGCTTTGGACTACAAATGTCCATTGAAGCTGTCCTTTCCAAGGTTACCTGTTATTGCTAAACCTAATAACCTTTTCCCAGACTTCATTCTATTTGAATTCTTTGCAACTTCCCCCATACTCCCTCTCCTTTCTTGGTTTCTGAGATTTTTTCTCTGGTTCTCCTACCTATTTGGCAGCTACTTTTCAATCCCCTTTGCTGGCTCAGCTTTGGTCCCCCACCCCTTAAGCCTAAATGTTCCCCAAGGCTTATTCCTTTATACTTTTGTCTCTGCAATGTTTTTCCTCTGATTTCATCAGCTCCCAGTGGTTCAATGTTTATCTCTACACAGATGGATCCCAAACATGTGTATATGTGTGTGTGTGTGTGTGTGCGCGCGCGCACACTTGCACTTCAGTACTGAATTGCAAAGTGCCTGTTAAACATTTACACCTGGATATTATATTGGCATCTCAAACTTAAAATGTCCAAAATAGAACTCATTATCTTCTCCCCCTGCCCCCCACTTTAAGCCCACCCTTTCTTCTAAACTTCCTTGTTTGGAATTTCTGTTTGGGATACCACAATCCTCCTAGTCACCAAGCCTCAGAGTTTCCTACTGTCCCTTCCTACTCTCTTTCCCTATAGTCAATCAGTTACCAAACCTTATCCATTCTACCCTCCTACCTCACCCCCTTGCCCCAACATATCGCACATCCAGCCCCTTCTCACCACTCACATAGCTATCACCCTAGTTCAGGCCTTCATCACCTCTCACCTGGACTATAACAGGCTTCTTACTGGTCTCCCTGTTTCTTATCTCTCCCACCCCAATCTATCAATCACACAGCTACCAAAATACTTTTCCTAGGGCACCGGTCACTCAGCAGTTTTTGGTGGCTTCCTGTTGTGTAGAGGATAGTATGCAAAGTCCTCAGCAGGACATTTGAAGCCCTGCACCTTCTGGTCTGGCCTACTTTTCCAGACTTGTTTCTTGGTACGCCTCTTCACATATTCCATATTACAGCCAATGGTTGTTCAGTCGTTTTCAGTTGTGTCTGACTCTTCATGACACCATTTGGGGTTTTCTTGGCAGAGATACTGGAGTGGTTTGCCATTTCCTTCTCCAGATCATTTTTACAGATGAGGAAACTGAGGCAAACACGGTTAAGTGACTTGCCCAGAATCATACAACTAGTAAGTGTCTGAGACCAGATTTCAACTCATGAAGGTGAGCCTTCCTGATTCCAGGCTCAGCACTCTATGCACCATGGTGCCACCTAGCAGCCCATATTCCAGCCAAAGTGTTACCCAAACTCTACATTCCAGTTATGTACTTTCACATAGGTTGAACCTTATGCCTGAAATGCATTCTTTCATCACCTCAGTTTCTTAGCATTCTTAGTTTCAGTCAATACTCAGCTTAGGCATCACCTCCTAAGAGCTCAGGTACCACTTCCTGATCTCCCTCCTCCAAATTGCCTAGGAGACTAAAAGCTCTTTGAAGGCAGGCACTTTTCCTCTGTAGCTCCTAACACTCTGCTTTACAAATAGTTCACTCTTAATAAATATCTATTGGATTGAATTAAATGAAATTATCATGTATTTTTGTCCATTTTCCCATTGTTGAGTGGGACCCAAGTGTGTGGAGTTCTTAACATTAGTCACAACTTTGGGTTCTAGGATTTATATCCTCTGTTAAAATTGTAACCCTCTCTTCTGGGGATTTTTCCTTACCTTTTTTTTAACTCAATATAATTTAGTCCTTGTTTTGCAGCTTTCTACTTGTTTACTCAATTCCTTCAATCTCTTTGGTGGTTTTTCCATGAGGTTTTACTTGTCATGAATTATTTATTTTTCTGTCTTTTTTTTCTGTTGTTGTTCTTTTACTTTATATAGCTTATTTCTCACTGCTTTGAAGTGATGAAGAGAAGAGAACTGTACTTAGCCACAACATCTTATTTAGCCATCTTGCCAAAAGTCTCCTTTGAATTAGCTTTTTTGGCTGCCATCATGTGCCTTTGGCTCATATTGAGCTAGCAGACACTCAGACCTTTCTCAGTTGAATGGCTCTCTAATTATACTTCTCTTGTCTTCTGCTCAATGCAGGTGGAGTGGCATTGAATAGAAACTATAATGACTTCATCATTTTGGCTGTTTGACCCAAGGGAAAGAAGTAAGGTATATGGTGAAAGACATGGGCTTTGGAGTCATACAAATGGGGAGAATCCCAATTCTGTGCATTCCTAAATGTGTGACTTCTATGGACCTCAGTTCTCTCATCTATAAAATGAAGAGTTAGATTTTTAAGATCCATTCCAGTTCTAAAGTCTATGATCCCACAAATGAATGAAAGAAAAGGCATTTGTTAATAGCTTACTTTGGGCAAAGTACTGTGCTATGTACTGGGGATATAAATAGATAAACAAGACAGTCTTTTTTCTCAAGGAGGCACTAAGAGAGGGAGATGGTATATACAACTGAATTCTGATTCTGGATGAATGGAAAGGCCCAGCAGAAGGACAGGTGATAAGACCTGATAATCTAAAGTATGAAGCTGCAAAGTAGATTATAAAGTCACTAGAGCACTTGTGGAAGGCCCTGGTGATCTAGTTGGCAAGTAATTCAATTTGTCTGGAGCATAACTGGGAAGTAAGGCTGATGTGCAGACATCTTCTTGAGCATCAATTCAACTGATAAACCCATATCTGTTTCTAGTATCGAATCACTGGACAGTGCAATATGATATTCTATTTCAAGCTGAAGAAGGCTATATTTGAACCTTTCCCTATCATTTTATTCTCCACC